CCACCTCCACCCCAGGCAAAAGTTATTGCCCTTTTCCAGCTCTGTACCCCTACAAATACCCTTGCTTTCCTGTCAACTGACAGGCTCTGAGGAGTTCCCCCAAAGAGCTGGGTCTTCAACTCACTTCCCCCATGGGGTAGGTTCATCAATGTCTCATCACAGAAAAAGAATTTCAGGACACCTCAGTGGGACGAATAGGCAGATTCATTAGGCAGTTAAAGAAGTACACACTCAGGGAGTATTTCACTTTTGAATGTTCCTTACTCATTGAGTAGCTGTCATCTCTCTCTTCTCCTTTTTCTCCACCTTCTTTTTTTTTTTTTTTTTTTTTTTTTTTTGTCTTTTTTTGAAACAGGGTCTCACTATGCAGTTCAGGCTGATCTTGAGCTCACTTTGCAGCCCAGGCTAGCCTTGAAGTCACAACGATCCTCCTGCCTCAGCCTCCCAAGTGCTGGGATTACAGGCATGCACCCCCACTCTCCACCTTCAAATAAACTGACTTCTTTTTTAATTTAAAGCCAGCTTCTTTAATTCTTTACTGACACTGGGTTTACAATTGCCGGGAACTGTGTTTTCCAGCAGAGCAGCAGCTTGTAGTACATGGATACAGATGGGAGTGAGAAAAGAGTGGGTGTAGCTAAGCAGAGAGGATTGGAGGAAAGCCCAGGCTTTGAGGAAATAAGTGAAGGCAACAGCAGAAAACAGCCACATTACAAGTACCAAGACTGCGCCTCCTTTAGGGATGTCAGAGTTGACTTCCAGAAGCTAATGATGGACTCTGGCAGGAGGAAAGATTGGCTGCATACAAGTGCTCATCCACAGAGCAGACGAGCAGACTACTTAATAGCTGCAGGGAAATACAAAGAGGCTATTTCTTGTCACAAAAAGGTGGCAGTGTATCTTTGTGAAGCCATGAAGCTGACACAACTTGAGCAGGCTCCTTGTCCCCGGAATTGCAGAGGGACAGCCACATGGAACAGCTCCTCCGCATCCAGGAGAGGTAGAAGAGGGCAAAGTGTGAGGAGCGACTCAAGGCCCAGCACAACACGGACAAGGGCACAGCTGCCCATCTCCAGGCATCTCACAAGCCCTCTACAGAGGACACGGAGAGCCAGGACCCCCTTCTTTCTCAGAAGCATAGCCCTTCCGCAGAGAAATTCAGGGAGTTTTGACAGAGGTCCAGACACACTGCTATATTTACTTCAGCAAAAGAGTGAGCCATGTACTGGAAGCAAAGACCTAAAAGATGACAGAAGGATTATAGAAGAGCAGGCAACCAAAATTGTGAAGAGACATGGAGTTCCTTATGGCTGAGAATGAAAGATTAAGGAAAGAAAATAAGCAAGTAAGAGCCGAAAAGGCTGGACTTCTGGAAGGTTCAGTAGAAAAGGAGCTGCATATGGATGCTGATTTTGTAGAAAAATCATAGTTTATGAGCTTGGCACCACATTCAGAAAAACCCTGCAGCCTCCTCAACCTGGCAGAAGTTTGCAACAAACAGTGGGAAAGCCAAAGATATTCCAGTACCCAACCTTCCTCCCTTGGATTTTGCATCTCCAGAACTTCCACTTATGGAGCTCACTGAGGACATTCTGAAAGGATTTATGAGTAATTAAAATGGAAGGGCAGTGGAGAGGTCAGACGAGGAAATAATTCAATACCGCACTTAATCCAGAAAAGAAAAAAAAAAGGGAAAACTGCACAAAAGGGCAGTCCCGGAATTGTCATCGTCTGGCTTCTGAGGGAGAGAGGTGTGGCTGGAGATGAGCAGTCGCTGTGAAGCGCACCATGGATCTGATTCTCTGGCACGGTTAATGATTCCAACCTGGCAGACGCCACTCAGAGGCTGGCTTTCTCCTGGTACAAACCAAATGGCTACCTGGAATAATATTTTCAAGCAACAAGTATTTTTTGTATCTTCAGGGTTTAAATGTATGAAAATGTTATATAATTAATTTATAACATCATAAATAGTAATGCAAAGCCTAAATAATATAGGCCTGAGAGCCTGCCTTGTACTTGAAATATACTCTCCATAATACATTGACTGTATGCATTGGTATGCACGTTTTCTTTAAGGAAGGCATGTAAGATGCAAACCTTTCTAGATGAAACTGTATGTGCCACACTTGCGCTACTCATAACATAATGATAACCTCAAGACTATCAGGAAAAATATTTAAATTTCTGTTTTACAAAGAAAGGAACCAAATTATGTTTTTTAAAAATTTACCAGTTTACATATCAGGGTGCATTTTAAATTCTGTTTGTCATATAACGCATCATTTGAAAATACCACGGAAGCAGCCTTTGTTTTTAATGATGCATGAGTGAAAGTAAAGCAGCTGGCAGTATTTGCTTGTCAGTAATAAAGTAATTGTGTTTAAAAAAAAAAAAAAAGTACACACTCAGAGAAAAGAGAAGGTGTGCTTCCAAGAAAGAGGCATACTATGGTCTGAGTTTGGGGAGATAAAATCCCTGATTACAAATGAGTTCCGTTCCAGGAGAATGTATGAAAGTCGGATTCGTTCTTAAGTCTGACAGAGTGAGTCTTATACACCTTTGACACAAATACACCCTGTACATTGCTTTGTGCTTCCTAGCAGGCCTCTCTGTATCACCACTGCTTTTCCTTTTGCTTATGGGCATTCTGGATGCTGACTGAGCACTGCACAATGTGCACTACCACACTCTACAGTAAGCGCACAGCAGCACAGCTGTGACAGTGTCTGACAGACGTGAGCTACTCCCACAATTTGTTCACGTCTACAAATGTGCGTAATTACAAGTTCTATTCATATCTGTGAAAGTTGGCAACTTACGTTGGGAACTTACTATATATAAGTGTTCTTGGAAGTATACTTTAAGATGGATCTTTGAACCCTTTGGATCTGTTTCTTCATTTTAAAGTCAGATTGGTGCCCGTTACCTTATCAGCTGGGTTACTTTATAAACTTCTAGGGAGTTTTTTGTTTGATTGAACCCAGGGCCTTTGTACTGAGCTACATTCTCAGCGCCCCCTCCTTTTAAATTTTGAGACAAGGTCTTCCGAAGTTGCTCAGGCTGAGCTTGAATTTGAAATCTTCCTGCCTCGGCTTCCCAGAGTGCTGGGATTAATAGCATGCACCTCTGTGCATGCAAATTCACTCATGAATTTACAGTATCTTTAAGGCCTTTGGGTGTGATGGTCCAGGAAGAAAAAAATAAACAAGCCTAGGGAAAAGCAGGAAGTAAAGATATGGAGCATAGAGATGGGTTCCTTTGGGTAACTTTGTGTCCCAAAGTTGCAGTTTTTAAAAGTACAACTTTAAAATTATGATTTCCTGTTTCTCTCTTCAGCGTATCTTTATTTCTTCTGTTCTAGCTCACCCTCTCTTATACTAAATTGTTCCATTGTTGTTCATCTTTGCTCCTACCACCCTCTGTGGTCCTGGGAGGTGAGAACGTGACTGTGTGGGCCCCAGCACCTAACAGGCCTGGCACTGAGTAGATGCTCAGTAGAGGTCGGATGAATGAATGGGCAGATGGATAGGAAAGAGCAGCAGAGAAGAAACAGTCGCTAGTGCCACAGTTTTTTGGTTTTTCTCCGGTACCGGGAACCGAACTCATAACCTTGCGCTTGCCAGGCAGGCGCTTTTGCCACTGAGCTAAATCCCCAGCCCCTAGTGCCACAGTTTTGAAGACTCATTCTAATGTGAGGTTGTTCACTTCTCAAAGCCCTTTCCTTTGGCAGTTCTCTTCCAAAACAGAATTCTTAGCAAATAATACTGTCCAGCTGATACATTTATTTAAATACAGTGCTTTGGCATGGGGACAGCTACTGTGCTTCTAAAGTGCTTTTCCAAATGAGGCTGTCAGGGAGATAGCAACATGGCCTAAAAGGCCCTATCTACCATGCGGACTTGGCTGCGGGGCTGCCTGGGTTTCTGGTATTCTGATCCTGGCCCAGAGTGATTCACTTTTCAGCTTTGAGCAAGACAGGCCTAAGCCCTGAGGAGCTTCGAGGGTTAGGAATAGGGAGCCCAGCGGACCTGGACTTTCCATGTGATCAGTTGCCTTTGCCCAGGGGTAAATTGAGGCACTTACTTGCACCAGTCTCCTAGGCATTGTTTGGCAAGCTGAGGGAGGTAGGCACAAAGACTGAATGAGGCTCTGTGTGGCTTTGCGTGAGGTTTGCGAATGTATTTCCTCTCTAATAATCTCAGCCTGATTGGAAGTGACTGGATGCTATATTAAGCAGGATTTTGAGGCTTCAATTTGGCATTACAGGAAAGAATATCATGGTTAATTAGTAATATCTGCCACAGAGAGAGAACGAGGAGTATCTACGTGTCACAAAGCTGCTACCGCAGGTCTTGTAACTGACTAAGCTCAGGCTTTGGAGTCTGGATGACTTGGGACTGAATTGCACTCTCTTCTCCTGGACATCAGTTTGTTTATCCTTGAAATGGACTTGTGTAATTCAGGGTATGGCTTCAGTACTATAACAAAGATGCCTCAAAGTACTTCGGCTTAACAGAAGTTTCTTCCTGTCTCTCGTGTTGTAGAAAACAGAGGTAGATGAGTTACTCTGTGCTGGAGGGGGGGCGGGGAAGCTGTTCTGCCATCTTCATGTGTCACTTGTGGGTCTAAGGTGGCTGCTCTTATTCTTGCCACTTCTCAGCCAGAAGGAAAAGGAACTGGACCGGGGGAGCCTGTGTCCAGTGTTTCACAGGTAACCCAGAAGCTGCCCACATCACTGCTCATTTGCTATTTAAGCAGAATAGTCACTTGACTACCCCCATGTGTGACTTGCTGGGAAGGTGAGTTTTTAGTTGGAAAGCCCTGTGCCTACCTGGCACTCTGATGGGCAGAGAAGGGGGCAATGAGTATTGGCATGAGATGCTCAAGGTCCTGCTGGGCATGTCTTGGGGTCAGTAGGCCTGGTGGCAGCATGTGAGCACCTCTGGTACCTGACAGGCCTTCCCCAAGCTCACAGGTGGCTTCCTCTCCTTGCCCAGGAGCTGGTGCAGATCCTGCACAAGGCGCTGGAGGCTGCCCAGCAGGAGAAGAGGGCGTCCAGTGCATACCTGGCTGCAGCTGAGGACAAGGACCGGCTGGAGCTGGTGCGGCACCAGGTGCGGCAGATCGCGGAGCTGGGCCAGAGAGTGGAGGCCCTGGAGCAGGAGCGAGAGAGCTTAGCACACTCAGTCAGCCTGCGCGAGCGGGAGGTGCAGGAGCTTCAGGAACACGTGCAGCTGCTCATGGACAAGAACCAAGCCAAGCAGCAGGTCATCTGCAAGCTCTCTGAGAAGGTCACCCAGGACTTCACACAGCCCCCTGATGAGCCCCGCTTGCCTCCCAACCCTGCTGACAGGGACCTCCTAAGCCAGCAGGAGAGGATGGAGCACCTGAAGGTAAGGCTTCCCCATTCCCAGAATGCTATCTCAGTGCTAATGCTTTTCTAGATGGAGCAAGGGTCTCCCTCCATCTGAACAGTCATACTGGAAAGAGGTACATTTGGAAAAATTGCCCTTCGCTCCCTCACTGTCTTCACCATTTCATGACATCCTGGGCTGCTGAAAAGTCCAAGTGTCTCTAACTTATCAAATTAGAGTTGAAAGCGCCTAGGACGCGCAAAGTCTGGGGTCTGGCCTGAACAGCCTGCTTTAGTGCCATTCCGACGCCCCCGAAACCCTGAGGTGTGCCAGCGTTCCTGCACATAATACAGGTAACCTGCTAGCTATGGCTTGCTTGTGATAATGGCAATGATCTCTGTGCCATTCATGGAATTGGTAGGATGTTCACTGTGGGCTAGACACTTTGCATGATCTTACTTCATCCTTGCACCAGCCCTAGGAGGCAGTCACTTGTAAGCTACCCACTTTGCAGAAGGTAATATTGAGGCTAAGCAAAATAAAGCTGGCCTGGCCTGCTTGGACGTGGGGCACTAGGGCTGGGCTAGAATTCGTATCTGCTCATATGTCTGTCTGTTCTGCTGCCTCTCAGGGGCTCTGCCTCTCCTGTGGTAGCTCTTGCTGTGCCCTGCCTCAGCCTTCCTGCTCTGTCCGTGTTTCTCACCCTAGGCTGCTCCACCCTCAGGGACCCATTGAGGCACAGGGAGCAGGAACTTTAATTGAGGTGTAATACCTGCCAAGGCCTGCAGCCTCTCTAGAAGACTGTGAGGGAACACCCAGCCACAGGGAAGCCCAAGCCTGGGGGTCGGTGCTCACAATTCCCACTGTCCCTAAAGGCAGCCATGCAGAGCGAGAGCCAGTCTTGTCCAGCAAAAGAGGCAACGGGAATGCAGAACAGCAGCCAGGCCATTATGGGAGGCCCTGCCTCCTCTAGCTACGTGGCCTTGTGCAAGTTCTCCCGCCTCTCTGTCAAGTAGCCTAACCAGTCCTGCTTGGAAGAGTTTTTAGGAGAATACAGGAAGAGAACCTGAAACCCAGATTCCCTTTCCTATTGCAAAAACTGAAAAATAATACAAAACAAACTAGTTCTGCAGTTGCTTATTAGTCTAAATCGAGAGTCTTCTGGTATAGAACAAAGTCAAAGCTTCCACGTGCAGATGCGCTCGACAGTTGGGAAGCTGCAGTCCTGCAGTCGGTGGGATGCTTCCTTCTGCCCTGCCCGAGCCCCAGTCTTCATTGGAGCGGCACAGAGGCCAGAAAGTAGACGAGACTGCCTGAGAGCTGTTCGTCACTGTGGACTTCGCTAGGAGCCTCAGTATGTCCTGAACTCATATTTTTGGGTTTTATTTTAGCAGCGAGCCCAGCTGGAAGGAGGCTTTGCAAGCGTGATTCACATTGATGTGATCCTTATATTTTAGATCATCCTCCAGTGTCTTGTGCTTTAAAGAGTCACATGTAGCAGATAATTCTTAAAATTTAGCTTTTAGACGATCCATCAAGTAAACATCCATCATCCTTAAGTGTGGCCGTAGAGAGCTTCAAGTTTCCTGCTTGCCCTGTTTTTGAGACTCTCAGTTTATGGCCATACCAACCCTGAATGTGCCTGATTGTGTCTGCTTGCGGAAGCTAAGCGGGGTCGGGCCTGGTTAGTACTTGGATGGGAGATTCATTTTAAAAAGAGAATCATTGATCTCTTGAGTGTGAGAGCCAGAAAAACCAGAAGCCTAGTGTGCCCCTCCTTTTCCGCAATAAACTGGTCCAGAGTCAGCACAGCATGAGACAAGCTAGCAGAAGCCCTAGGTCTCCTCACACAAGCAACGGCCCTTGCCCACAGGCACTTTCTAAGGGGAGTCCCTGATCCTAGGCAGTGCTACAGCTCCCTGCTTTCAGGCTCTTTTTTCCACCCTTTGTCCCCTTTGCTGTGCTCGAGGCTGTCGTGTGGCTTTTCTCTGCTCTGAGGTTTCTGTTTTTCCTCCCTACAGTTCTGAGCCAAGGAGAACACTCCAGGTAGGGCAACAAGCTGAATGGGAGGGTGCTGCTGTGTCACTGCCCTCTCTCCACTGCTGCTCCAAGGGTGCTCACACCACCCTGTCACAGCACATTGGTGCCTCCTCTAGAACTGGAAGCAGGCACTTCATATGACAGAAGCCTTGGAAATGCCCATTACAGGCCTGGATGGAATGGTAACACTTCTAGGCTAGGATGGGAGGGTAGCAAAGAGGCAGGAGCCAGTGTGTTGTGGAGCAGTGGGCAGCGTTTGCTGGCCCTCACTCTGGGCTGACCAACCTGGGTTTGGGTCCTGGCTCCCCAAGCCCCACCCCGCACCAGCTGCAGAACGGAGGACCTTCCCTTCTCAGTGCTTGTTTCCTCAACTGTAAAATGGGAATGATAGCACCTTAATACTGATCCCGGGGATGGTGGGCCTGGCACAGAGTGGGTACTCAGGGACTGAAAGATCCTTTCCTCCTTGGCATTCACTGCTTGTCCTGGACATTTGGCAAGAATCCATATCGTTAGCAGTGGGAGAGTGTTCTGCGGACAAGGAGGAGCAGGTGGGTCCCAGCAACCCTTTTGCATTGTCCTCACCCTCTGCTGGGTGCCATATGAGCCTTTTGCACGTATGAGCTCACCAGTCCTCCCAGGAGACCCTTGAGGTGGTACTGCTGAGTCCCCAGATGAGGGGACAGGGCATGGGAAAATTAAATGTGTCCAGGGTCTCAGTGGTGAGGATGGGTCATGCAAGTGGTTGTGGCCCTGCCATCCTTGTCCCTAACCTCTACCGGCAGCAATGCTGGCGCACGGCCAGTGCCCATGTCTTTAAAGCCCTGTTATTATACTGCCTGCCAGGTCAGCTGCATGCATTAGCTGGAAGACTGAAGAGGACCTCCTTGGGAGGTGGGGACTAGAGTTTGGGTTCTGGTGGCTTCCAGTGGGAGGGAGCTCAGAGAGTGACCAGGCAGGAATTGCAGTCGCCGGGGTGCAATTGTCGAACCCAGAGACTTGGGCCTGGTCACACTCTGCCTTGTCCAGGCTGCAAGGTCTCTGGCAAGTTCCTTTCCCTGTAGGGTCCCTGAGGCATCCTCTGTACTCCCAAGGGTGACAAACATTTCTTATAGGGGTGCTGGGAGGCTCACTGTGTCAGTGGCAAAGGGGGCCATATGGGGAGACATTCTGAAAAGTCAGACACGTGAGTTGGGCGTGGTCCTGGGAAATCCTGCATTCCCGGGAGATCGGTCCCTGCACCACCAGCAGCAGGTGTCCCAGGACCTCACCGCTCCCTGCCACATAAGGATAAGGAAGTGGGAGTCAAAGCGGGAGCAGACAGCTTTGCCCAGAGGAGTGGCTGCACTCACCAGCAACGTTTCTGAGAGACAGGGGGCCTGGATCCTCATCTGGTAGAGGAGGGTGGGGCTGGGGAGGTGGATGACAAGCTCCAGGCCAGGAGAGAGCAGAGAGTGAGCACAGCAGTGCACAGCCTTTCAGCCCAGGCACACGGGTACTGAGAGCTGGCAGTAGCCAGGTGGGAGACGCCATGGGAAGCCCATCAGAGTTATGAGGCCACATGAGGGAGTCAGCCTGAGGTTTCATTTCCAGCAACGGGAACCCAAAGACAGAGGCCCGCTGTGTGTGAGCCGTCTGGGCAAAGGGCAGCAGTCTCAGATATAAATTAGATCCTCCAGGAGGGCCTTGAAGGTCCACCCAGGCCAAGACCACCTGGGGGCCAGGCACATGCGGCTGCCTCTGATGAAGTGTCATGGGCTGCAAGTGATGTTTTTCCTGCCCGGGCATACAGGGCCTGTCTCAGCTCAGCACCTCCTACACCTCCCCAACCCAGGGCATTTCCTGAGCAGGAAAAGGAGGGGTTGGGTGTCAGTAGAAAACACCCTGCCTCTGTAGGCCTGACTGTTTGGATGGTTTCTGGGACGTCCTTCCCAGCAGAATAAAGGTGGTGACCCATGGCCATAAGCTCAAGTGCTTGTGTGACCCTTTCCAAGGTTTGTCAAGCCTCTTATGCGCTCCTGCGGCAGGTTCTGCCTACCTGCATGGACAGTGCACACATGGGGAACTGTGGGCTCAGAACTGTTGATTACAGCAGTACTCAGAATCAAAGACCAACTGAAAACACCAGTGCTCAAGTTTTAAAAGCAAAAAGGATTTAAGTAAGTTATCATAAATTCACCCAATAGAAGAGTCATCAGGCATTAAAAATGATCATTGGGGCTGGTCAAGTGACACATGCCTGCGACCTCAGCTACTTGAGAGGCCGATGCAAGAAGACTGCAAGTTCAAGGCCAGCCTGGGCAGCTTAGCAAACCCTGTCCCTTGCAAGAAAAAAAAGGGGTTGGATGGGTAGTTCAGTAGTATGCTTAGCATGCTCGAGGTCCTGGGTTTAATCCCCAGCACCAGAATAAACAATCATTAGGAAACTTGCTTAGCAATATAAAACTATTTGCAAAGTAACACTTTGCCAAAAATTTCCACAGCATGATTTCAAATACCTGATAAAATATCTTCTTTTAAAAAAGATACTACTTGAGCACTTGCTGTGATTGGTCCTACACATGTGTTAGACTGCCTCATCTATAGTCCACGTGCCTAGTGGAGTAGCTGGTATTTGCCACTTTTACAGATAAGGAGACAAAGAGTCAGAGTAGTTTTGGGATCTGCCTGAAGCTGCTGGGCCAGGATGTCAGAGCCAGGATCTGAACTCCAGGTGTAGCACTCTTTATCAAGTATGTTAGGAACAAGAATAGAGGGGGCTATGGGTGATTTTTTTTCCCAGATTTCCTTTTTTTTTGGAGACAGAGTCTCTCTACATAGTCCACACTATCTTTGAACTCACTATGTAGCTTAGACTGGCTTTGAACTCACAGTAATCCTCCTGCCTCAGCTTTCCAAGTGCTAGGTTTATAGATATGTGTGTCCATACCCCACTCTAGACTTCCTTTTCTATGTCATTATTGGGAATTTCTCAAGAAAGAAAGCTTTGGTAGCTCATTTAAGGGTGTTTCCCTCAAGAGCAGGAAGATGTCTGTGGTACAGCTCCTGACATGCTTTGCTGTCTTCTTCAGGATGACATGGAAGCATACCAGACGCAGAATCGCTTCCTCAACTCCGAGATCCACCAGGTTACCAAGATCTGGAGGAAGGTGGCCGAGAAGGAGAAGGCCCTGCTGATGAAGGTGCTAGTGGGAGCTGGTGACCATCTCTGGGCCCGCCCCTCCCAGTCCCATGACACCTACCAGCCCCCTCTCCTTACCCAGCTGCTCTTCCACCAAGTCCCTCAGGAGCAGAGTTGTATCAGCTTCCCCGGGCCCTGTTCAGCAGTGCTTACGACCGGCTGTGGGGAAGGCATATCAAGACCAATAAGCTTGGTTGCTGCCTCCAGGAGTGCACAGCGGGTAGCTGGTCCAGGAGGAGGTGGAGCTGGGGCCCAGAACTTTGACTGCTGTAGGCAGACTTTCACTGTCCCCATCTCGAGAGACAGAAAGAAAGGCGCTGTGTGAGCAGTTTCGTGACTTGCCTGGGCCGGGAGAGGAGGGTAATGTCTGGGGTGTCCCAGGCCAGGGGAGAGGGTGCAAGACAGTGGAGTGGAAGGGCTGGGGTGTGTTGGAGAAACAAGAAGTGCCCATGTGACTGATCATCACCAGAGTCCAGAGGCAGACTCCGTATTACCCCCGTTTTACAAATGAAGAAGCTAAGGCACAGAGAGGTTAAGTAACTTGGCATAGGCTACACAGCTAGCAAGGATAAACCAGGATGGGAACTACAGGCTGTGCAGAGCCTGTGCTCCCTTCTCTCCCCTCCTGTCTTTTGAACTTTGATCTCCTACTACCCACTTTGCTTTAAGCCACTGGATTCTGGGCCACTCTCCTTTCCGCTGAATGCAGATCTAGGGGAGGGGCGGGAGAAGAGAGCTGCAAGGGCTGTACTGCCATCCAGGCCTCAGGCCTTGGTGGCCTGACCAGCCCACCCTGCCCCCTTGCAGTGTGCCTACCTCCAAGCCAGGAACTGCCAGGTGGAAAGCAAGTACCTGGCTGGGCTGCGGAGGCTGCAGGAGGCCAAGGCCGGGGAGTGCTCCGAGCTGCTGCGGCAGTTGATCCAGGAGGCGCTGCAGTGGGAAGCCGGTGCAGCCTCAGCAGACAGTGTGGAGCTGAGCCCCATCAGGTGAGCGTGGCTACATCACCCAGGGTCCCCGCTGCCCTTCCTGCCAACTGTGCATGGGGCTTCCAACAGATGAGTGTGGGGCCAGCTGAAGACAGCAGACTCAGAGGAGGCGGCGCCTTGCCCAAGGCCACACAGTCCACCATGCAACCCCCTGGCTACGCCCAGACGTGCTTGTCACAGGCCAGAGGAGAGGAGGCGGATCACTGTCTCCTCCTGAGCCTAACCCTCACCAGTGAAGCCAAGTAATTCTGTGTAACAGAACAGGGGATGGCTGTGCCCAAAGGTCCCTGGAGGCTTGACAGCGTACTGGCAGGAGCCTGGGCTTTGAGACTAGACCTGGCTCTCTTGTGTGATGTTGGATGAGTCAGTTTAGCTTTCTGAGCCTCCTACTCAGCCTCTGTAAGAGCTAGGCTAAGACCCCTTCTTTGCAGGACCATTGGGATTGACTGAGATAGCTCAGGTGGGCACATGATAGGGCAAATAAATGCTGAATGTGTGAAAGGCCAGTTGTAGTAGGTCCCAGCCCTCCCATCTCTGCCTGTCATTGGCAGCCATCCTGGAGCCTGGTGGCTGTGGGAGATGGGGCCTGCAGCAACACTGCAGGGCTCCTCGGCACAAGGCTGCAGGGGTATGCAGAGGGCCCTGTGTTGCAAGGGAGGACTGAGTATCTCCCGAGCCTATGCAGCAGGCGCTTCCAGGCCCCCAGCAGTTACAACAGAGGCTCTTACTGGGTCTTCAGAAGGCAGAATAGGAGTTCCTGTACCCACTGTACAGATGAGTAATCTGTGGCTAGGGGAACCAAAGTTCTCCTGCCCAGAGCTGCATGCCCAGCCAAGGCCAGCAAAGGCCAGCACCTGACCCAGTATTCCCCAACTTCCCCTAAACTAGGGAAGGGCTCTTCCTGCATGGTGTTCTAACATGGATTTTTGTTGGCAGTGAGTATGATGAGTATGGCTTCCTGACAGTACCTGACTACGAGATGGAAGACCTGAAGCTGCTGGCCAAGATCCAAGCACTGGAGGTGCGCTCCCACCACCTGCTGGAGCGCGAGGCTGTGGAGCGACCCCTGCAGCAGCGCTGGGCTGCCCTGGGCGAGCTGGCACCCTCGGCTGAGCTGAAGCAGCTGCTACGAGCAGGAGTGCCCCATGAACACCGGCCCCGTGTCTGGAGGTGGCTGGTCCACCGCCGTGTCCAGCACCTGCACACCCCAGGCCGCTACCAGGAGCTGCTTAGTCAGGGTCGGGCCTGTGAGCACCCTGCTGCCCGCCAGATAGAGCTGGACCTGAACCGGACTTTCCCCAACAACAAGCACTTCACGTGTCCCACCTCCAACTTCCCTGACAAGCTGCGTCGGGTACTACTGGCCTTCTCCTGGCAGAATCCCACCATCGGGTACTGCCAGGGCCTAAACAGGTGAGCCACTGTGGTCACAAGGAGGCCCAGGCCTTTGCCTACCAGAGCACTGCCACAGCTCTTTAGGGCATCCCAAGACCCTGGAAGCATGAGCCCAGGACAAAAGGGTCAGAGCTCAAGGCCTTTGTCCTGTGTACTCCACTTTAAGCTTGAGTCACACAGAACCATCGGATGGTTAGTGCAATTCGATTTGCATGTGCAGAAACGGGGGATCAGGGATCATCTGTACCAAGGGAGCCTAGAGCAGCCCAAGGAGAAAGGAAATTGTAAGTGGTACAGGGGGCCTCAAGGAAGCCAGGGAAAGCAAATAGAGGTGAAGGCCAGCCAGCCCAGCAAGGCTGCAGCCTGGCACAGCCCCAGGTCAGAATTCATTTCTGAATTCTCTCCAATGAGTGCCATCCTGAGACTCAGGGCTCGCAGCCCCATTCTGCAGTGGCATGGCCTCCCCTTGCTCTGCACGTTGGTCTCCTCCTCTCTTGGTGCACCAGCTTCTGCACACTCATTCTTTGGACCCATATGGGTGTTTGAGGCTGGCAGTAGAGCTCTCAGCCCTGGAGTCAAAGGGCTTTGGCTTGTTTTCCTGTCCCACTTCTCATGCTTCACCACTCTGTCCAGGCTGGAAATTCCAAAGAAGTGGTCTGAATGGCCCAGTCTGAGTTACTTCCCATTTCTGTTCTGATCAGCAAGGGAGGGATAAAATGAGGTTGAGTTTAGAGGGGCTCATTGGACTGCCCCCTCTAAAACTGGGAGGGTATTGTCCTGGACACCCCAAGTACTGCCATAGAAATTGAATGGAGTATTTCCTTTCCTGAGCACCCCAGTTAACTCCACAGAAATGGCATAGTTTGAATATTTCTCAAAGCAAGTTTTGATTCTATTTATTGAAAGACACATATACTTGAGCAAAATTTACATAAGCAGTTCTGTTCCTTTTTCAGAACAGGTGGTGTGTGACATTTATTTAACAGAGTTAACATTCAGTGTCCTTACTCAAATTTGAATGGTTCCCAAGGGTAGATATTTTCATTATTCTTATTTCCAACCTAAGTGTGGGTGAAATTGAGCATGTATATGTACAATTACTGAGAAATTTCACTGTTAAACTCCAGCAATGATGCCTCTCAACCTAAGCCCCTTGGAAAAACAGGATTTCATGCTGCTCTGAATATTGGCTACAGGTAATGTCTGTAGACAATTCATTCGTTCATTAACAGCTGAGCAAGCCTCTGGCTGAACGTGTTAAAATCCAGAAGGTCAGAGCCTCTTTAAGAAAGCTGTGAAGGGAGCTAGAAGCTGAGATTAGTATGAGTAATAATTTTTACATTTTGTGCAAAGATCGGGTAGGAGTAATATGACTTGAGGGTGCTTTATGTAACTGCTAACGTTTGCTCGTCACATAAGACCATAAAGTGAGCCCTGGTGCCCCACTGAACAAATGAGGCAACATCTGAGAGCCGAGGGACCAGCTCCTCACCCCACCACACACAGCAGGCAGGCCCCCAGTCCTGCAGTCCCCCTTCCAGCCCACCCTCACTCTAATTGGGCATTGCGGCCAAGGGGTGCCGAGAGTCCTCCAAAACGCTTTCTCCCGATCGAGTGTGACCTCTCAGGGATGGGAGTAGCCACATATGGGATCTGGGTCTTTGCTGAAGGGCAAGAGAAATTCTTGTAGCAGGAGGGCTGATCCTTGAGATCAGCCTCACAGCAGGAGAGAAGCCCTCCTGTGGGGAAGGAGACAGCACTGCAGCAGGAGGACCATGAGAACAGCAAACCAGGAGAGGTAGGAGACAACCAGAGAGCGTTTTTAATCTCTCTGTATACTATTTTTACTTAAATTTTATATGCCAGCACAGATACTTGGTATTCATGCAGATATCGATAGCATTGCTTTAAATAGAAAGCTACGTGTAATAGAAGGCCTGTTGACATGTGGAAATGCAGTGTATTCTTTTGGAGGCCCTTAAGCCCAAGCTGCAAGCCCCTTCTGCTTGTCTCAGTTGCCATCTAGTGCTGGCCACTAGAACTGCATGTGTCTTCCCAGACAGCCTGCTTCTAAGGCTGCAAATCCAGCCTGATTAGACTGACAGCTAACACAGTGATGACCTAACGCCGATTGAGAGCAAAGCTTGGTAAAGCCATTTCCCTATGAAAATAAGTGGAAGTCTTTAAAATTAGTCTGTTCTTCTCCCCACAGACACACCCGCTTCTGTGCAGGCCTACTGGGGCCCTGAACGGCTGGAGTCCAGCTGTAGCCCTGGTGGGAATGAGCCTCTGGTAACCGCCCTTTTAGGGTGTGCAGAAGTCCCAGCCAATGCGGGCAGACAACTCCTGTACGTAGAGTGGACAGAGCACCAGGCTGGACTTCGACAGTCTTGGGTTTTGCTCTACTCTGCCATGTGTGATTTTGAACCAGTCACTATGGTCCTCTGGGGCTGTTTTCCCATCCGAAGTTTGTCGACCAGAGAAGACCAGTAGGAAGCAGGTGCTCGAGGCCTGCCCTGAGGGAATTTTTGAGGTAGCCTCTAGATTTAGGGGGAAAGACAGCCATGATCAATTAGTTAGCTCTTCCCCTGGGCAGAAATAAAGGGAATGGGGCCACAGTTCATGAGTTGTCTTTCCTAGGCATAGACAAAGAATGGTGGCCCATGCACCACACATTTACTATCCTCCAACTCAGTGACCTCGGAAGGCTCCTTCTCCTAGCCTCCTCTTTTCCAGGATACCTGTGACTTTCTCTCTCTTCCACTCAGCTGAGACTCAGGAAGATATGTACAGATATTTGAGCCAGAGTTGAAATTCCTTCCCAAACTCTTTGGGAAGAAGAAAGGATTCCATTTTTGAGATTTAGCCCTGTTTTTAAATGTCGTGAACCTCAGAAGAAATAGAGGTCATGAATGCAGTCTAATAAGGACAAAGAGAAGCTGTCAGGACAATGAAATGTGCTCTTTAAATGCCCTGTGAGTCTATAGAGAGCCCCTGTGTCCAGTGCTGAGGTGTCGTCCCACTCCAGGAGCTCTGAGGGACTCTGCTGTCCCCGGCCTCCTTGGGGTAATGTGTGAGAGTGGCTCCGTGGCCTACAGGACCGCCCTGGGCAGTTAGAGTGGCAGAGACTCCCATGGCCACAGGCTTTCTTGGGCGTGTTCTCAGATAGCGAGCATCATCATGAGCCTCAGAGCTGACATCAGAAGCAAGGGGTCCGTGAAAGATATTTGGGGAACTCTTCCCAGCTCTGCCCTGAAAGTTCTGTCTTTCTTACCTAGTCTCCCTCAAGCCTCATGATAACTTGGCGGGGAGGTTGAGAAGAAAAGAGCTGTGTGTCAGGCGCTGGGACGTGCACGTCAGGCAGGGTGCCGGAGGCCTGTTCTCAGTCAGAAGGGCCACAGCCTGGGCAGGGGAATATCATCACTGCCACTGCAGAGCCGGAACTGAGGCTCCGAGAGGTCAGTGTACTCAGGAGAGTCCCAGAGTGGGTGAGTAGAGGTGAGAACAGCTAACGTGTAAACAGGCCGGTGCATGCCACGCACTGGGCTAAGCATCGAACATGTGACCTCTGCTCACCCTCGCACAGTCCTGTGATGATTCTGCGGAGGCTGTGTCACCAGGAACAGAGGCCCAGGATTCACACACAGACAGCCTGATCCCCATTGCTCTGAAAACCACTCTGGTCGTCCTCTCCAGAAGTGTCACACCGCTGGTGCAGGAGCACTAGCCTGGTTAGGGCATGAGGTTAGGCTGCTGCGAGTATGGAAGGACTCTACCACAGGACCTACGGGGCCACTCCAGCCACTAGCTACTTGGCAGGGGTGTAGCGTGTGTGTCACTCCAGGCCTCTTCCTCCCGTGCCAGGCTGGCAGCCATTGCCCTGCTCGTCCTGGAGGAGGAGGAGAGTGCCTTCTGGTGCCTAGTGGCCATCGTGGAGAGCATCATGCCAGCCGAGTACTACAGCAAGACTCTTATGGCATCCCAGGTGAGCTGGGCAGGGAGGGCACCTGTGGCCACGCAGGCCAGGATCCCTGGGTTCCGGGAAGCATTCATCCCAGGACAGTAGGAATCTTTCAGGCCTCCATTTCTCCTTCTGTCTGATGGCCAGTCCCCCTTCTCTTGGACCCCTGGGAGGGTCTGACAAGCTGCCTCCTATAGAATTGCTAGGACCCTGCCCACAGCACACACTGATATTAATGTGGTGGTAATCTCGGGTCCTTGGCTTCCTGGGGAGGGGAGGAGGAAATTTGATGTCTCCTGCCATCTGACAGTGAAGAATTTCAGGACACAGGTCAGCAGGATGCGAGACGGGGAGCTTGGGAGAAAAGGTGATGCTCCCTGCACACAGCAGCACGGCCACTGGGATGTACTGCCTCCGTCATCTCTTCCCTTCCACTGGCCTTGGCCTTTGAGGCAGGCAGAGCAGGGACCAGAGCCCTGCCCTTCCCCTGGCCAGCTGTGTGGCCTTGGCACCTGATACCGTCTCTCAACCCCAGGCCAGCCCACTTTAGAGTGGGCATAGGGTTGCCTCGTGGGCTCACACAAATGCAAAGTAATTTCCAACCTGCCCTCTGACGCCCAGCTTGGCCTGCCATTCTTGCTGTGTTGTCCCTGACTGCTTTACCGTGAGAGGCCACTTACTCCTTCTGCATCTCTAAGCCAGCTGCTGTGTGCCCACCATTTTTTCCTCCACCCACCATCTAATACCAGCTCCTCCTCCTGGTATGCCCACCGCAGGGGTGGGGCCCTGGGCTGGGGTGGCTCAGGTACACACTGAGGAGGGAGGGCAAGACTCGGGAGCCATCAGTGAGTAGGTGGGGAGCACACGAAGACTGCATGTAGCTGCATGGGAGGGAAGCCAGCTTCAGAGTGGCTTCAGTGGGGCACTGTTTTGTTTTGTTTCATTTTGTTTTTGAGGTGAGGTCTCACTACATAGCCCTGGCTGCTCTTGAACTCTCTATGGAGTCCAGACTGACCTCAAACTCACCATGATCCTGCCTCAGCCTCCTGAATGCTAGATTATAGGCAAGCATCACCCCACCTGGTGATGGGGCAATATTTTTCTCATTGAGGACAAAGTGATATCTGCTCTTTGATGGCATCAGGGATCAGCCTTCCAACTTCCTACTCTGCCATCCCTGGCCTGGGGCATCCAACCTCATGCTTATCACCTTGTGTTCACAGGAGGATTGCACCATCCTCTGCCCTGTGGTCATAGCCTAGATGGAATGAAGCAAAAAAGGCAGGAGCTGGCTTCCCCACCCAGCAGACTTTACTTAGCTCTATCTATGGTCAGAAATGCATCTTAATGCCATCCCCAGCTGCAAGGCAGGCTAGGGAATGTGCTGTGTTTCCTCTCCATGTCTTAACATTCTGTATTTTAGGTGTGTTGTACTACCGGTGTCCAGGCTGCATTTTTTTTTAAATTATGGAGAATTCCCCACATTCAAAAACAGTAGAGAAAATAGTATAATGTACCTCCATGTGTCCATCACCTAGTTTACTTAATTTTCAACCCAGGGAAGCCAGGGCTGTCTCACCCATCCTTCACTGACTCCTGCTTGATAGTCTTGGGGTACATCTCACACAGCACATCAGTTCATCCATGAATCCTTCAGGAGGCTCAGTGGCATCTTAGACCCAGTGTAGTACCTGGGATTCTGAGCTGGACATGTAGCCTCCACTGCCGACCCAGGGTTCTGGGTCAGGAAAGGAGGGGAGCTGCTACAGCCAAGGACCTTAGTAGGAGAGAGCTGAGCAGTCGTAGTCCAGGCAGAGAAACTAAAATGGGACACCACAGAGCAGGGAAGGAACCAAAAAAACAACACCTTGGAGCCAAGGAAGGAGCCAGTGCTCGACGGTCCCCAAGTTTTCCTGGCACCAGAGGCTGGTTTTGTTGAAGACAATTTTTCCATGAACCAAGGATGGGAGTATGGTTTGGGGATGATTCAGGTACATTACATTTATTGTGTACTCTATTATTATTACATTATAATATATAATGAAATAATTACACAACTCTCCGTGAGTTTTCCGGCAACTAGATGGTCCTGTCTGGAGGTGATGGGAGACAGTGACGCCTGAAGTGTTGCTGATGTCCAGTGTGCTCTGTGCTCTTGTGTTGGCTGCCGTTACTGCAGAAAACCTTGCTTCACGAAGACAGGATGTTGCAAATAGAAGCAGCTTTTTTTTTGGCAATCTCAGGGTATTTCACCTTGACTTTAATTGAGAACATACAGAGATTTGAAATTGTCTCAAACATACTTTTAAGGCCACTGTCATTTGCAATGTTAAGCAGTTGATCTTCTAGCACAAAGTCAACTTACCTGGTTTATTCACAAATGGGTTGCAGATCCATTTCTCCCTGTGTCAGGGGTCTTTTGTGGTTGGGAGAACTGAGTTAAGGGGAAGTATTTTAATGTGGTTGGTAATTTTAATTATATCCTATAAAACATTGTTAAGATCAGGTGACCTTTTTTGGGCTAGCCCGCATTTCTGTATGGCCAACACAGTGCATAGACTCACGTTCAGAAACCACCTCTTAAACCTGAGTAGTGAAATCAGAAAGCCATCCAGTCATCCAGGCAGCCACTCCATCTGTGCATGCAGCAACACAAAATGACTAGTTTAGTTTTCCTGATATGTTGTGTTTCACTATACCTGTTCATCAGGGTCCTCCAGTCCCTGGGCCATGGACTGATACCAGTCTGTGGCCTGTTAGGAGTCAGGCTACTAGTCAGTCATTCAAAGACTTGAATAGTTCCTACAGCTGTGGTTTTGGTTAGCAACAGAAGTGCACATGACATATCCTAATGCTCATCCCCCTGAAAAATACACTGTACAAAAAACAAGCATTGTTTCCTTATTGTCCCATGGGTAGACTTGTCAACCTTGATTTCATGCCGCTGTAACTTACCAAAACTGTGACTGAGACAAGTGCAGAGTGTAGGCAAGAGTCACAGACAAAAGTGGTAAATAAAATACCGGGCAGGCCCCATGTAGACTAAAAAGTGCTGGATTCTGACTTAAAAGCCTGTCGCCAGAGGCAGCTATACCACTGAAGTACACCACTTACTTTCCCTTCTAACCCCTGCTACCAGATGCTGCTTAATTTTCACTTGCTAGTCACTGACAGGGTTTTTCTATGAGTCTGCAAATATGATTTATTATGGTTTGCACACAGTCAAACCTCTCTGCTAATATTACTCTGTAGCTGCTCCCCAGTGCTAGTATCACTGCCTCAGCTTCACCTCAGATCATCAGGCATTAGATCCTCATAATGAGTGCACAACCTAGATAGATCCCTCTCATGTACAGTTCACAATAGGGTTGTGCTCCTAAGAGAATCTAATGCCATTAGTGACGTGATGGGAGACTGTGCTGAGGTGGTAATGTGAGCTATAGGGAGTGGCTATAAATACAAATGAAGCTTTGCTCACATCCACCACTAAATCTCCTGTGTAGCCTGGCTCCTCACAGGCCACAGACTGGTATCAGTCCATGGCCCAGGGACTGGAGGCCCCTGATGAACAGGTATAGTGAAACAAGGATGCACACAGACTGACTGCATCCGAAGGGGCAATCAGGGAAGGAGGTGCCTCAACCTGGGGATGCAGGTGATGGTCTCTTGCTGCCTTCCAGGTGGACCAGAGGGTGCTCCAGGACCTCCTCTCAGAAAAGCTGCCCCGGCTGATGGCCCACCTTGGGCAGCACCAAGTGAACCTCTCCCTGATCACCTTCAACTGGTTCCTCGTGGTCTTTGCAGACAGTCTCATCAGTGACATCCTCCTGCGGGTCTGGGACGCATTCCTGTATGAGGGAACCAAGGTAGGATGCTGCTGGGCCAGTGCCTTCACCACTTGGAGTCTAGGTTCTGCCCCAGAGAGCGGGAGGATAGTGCCCACCTGGCAGGGGTGTTGGGCACATCTGACAGGATGCTTTGTAAACTGCAAGCTGGTGTGCACATATCAGAAGTGGTGCCTCTGCCTCTGAAGATGTTGCCCTAGTTGGGGGGCCTGGAATGCCTCCAGTGCCTCCATCACTCAGGCCTCTCCTCTCCTTTTTGGTCTAAGCCCAGGACTGGGAGGCTGGAGCATGGGTCTGGGCAGGTCCCATCATCAAGGCCCCATGGAAAGACAAAGTTTTAACCCCACTGGGTCCTAGAGGACCAACACCTTTCCTCATCCCACTGTGGGAGAGGTCCAGGGTGGAGCTGGGACTCTATCTAAACCCCTCGATTTTAAGCTGTGCCCCCTTTAGGGTCCTTGGCCTCCCTCATGCATAGTGCCTCCAGGCCTCACCATCTGCAGCCTGCCCCTTCTGCACGTCCTGCCTGAGCCCCCACTGTGCACATGCCCCCAGGTGGTGTTTCGCTACGCCCTGGCCATTTTCAAGTACAATGAGGATCCAATCCTGCAGCTGCAAGATGGCCTGGAGATCTATCAGTACCTGCGCTTCTTCACCAAGACCATCTGTGACAGCCGGTGAGGCCCCACCCTCTGCCACCGCCCCAGCTGTCTGGGACCCAGGAGACCCCAGTAGAGACTTATCCTCCATCATAGCTTGGGAGTCAGAGGAGGTCTACTCCATGATCTGTCCGCCCTCAGTGCAGCAGGTGATTTCTGCAGGCATTGCAGTTTTCTGCCACCATCCCCTGCCCTGATACCCCTGCAAACCTGGCAACAGGACTGAGTTCCTAGAACAAGCCCACCTCTGGGCTTTTACTCTCACAATGTCTTCTGCCTACAGTGCCTCCTTACCACCTCCTCCAGCATCACCATCTTTGCCTGGCTGGTGTTAGTCACTTTTGAAAACCTAGCTCCCATGTCGCCTCCTCCAGGAAGCCTTCGCTGACCAGCCTGCTCCCCTAGGCTAGGTGCCCTATGAGCTTCCCGCTTCCTTAGCACACACTCCTCTGGGTGGAAGTGGTCTTAGTTGTTATTTCCTCCCTGAGCACAGGGCCCAGGGCCCAGGCTCAGCTCAGCCCCTCAGGTGGACAGCTGTCTGGGAAGGCCAGAAAACGCAGGCCTGGCAAACCCTGTGACTGTGCCCTGTTCCAGGAAGCTGATGAACATCGCCTTCAGTGACATGAACCCCTTCCCCAAGAAACAGCTGCGGCAGCTGCGGATGGCCCACCGGCAACGGCTGGAGGCTGAGTTGCAGGAGCTGGAGCTGCTCAAGGCGCAGTACCTGGAGAGGCAGGCTCCCCGGGACGACAGGAGGCCTGACGGGGGCGCCAGTGAGGAGGAAGGGGAGGGCGACACCTGACTGGCCACTCCTCCCCAAAGCCTTTCTCACCCCTAGATCTTGGCATGGACCAGGGCTCCAGAGCCATCTCCATGTAACCCTGAACAAGTCCCTTCCCTCCTGGGGCCTCGGTCTCCCCAGCAGGACATTGTGGTGAAGCCATTGGCTGGATTACCTCTCCAGGGGCGCTGACTCAAGGATGCCCCCCAGGCTCCCCTCCCCACAGAGCCCTGGAGCGTTCTCTAAGTTATAGCTATATAAAGCAGTGTCAGTGTGGAAATCACTCACCAGCTTTGGAACTTAAATGGCTCTCAGTTATCAGTTGTTCCTCGATGGGGCCAAGGTGAGGGTGTGCCACCACCGGGGCCTTCCTGCTTGGGCCTCTGGCTCTCATTCTGTGGCTGTCTGCACAGACACCCCGTCTCCTGGCCCCTGGAGACGGGCCCAGAGTCGTCAGGGTCACAGCTCTCTTCCAGGCTAATGAGGACTGCGTCCAGCCTACCCATGTACCAGGGCCTGTCTCCTGACCTTGTACACTATGCCCCTTTCTGCTCACAGCCCATCTTGGGGGGTCCCCAGAGAAAACCACCCCGCTTCTGATCTGGCACTGGCTGGAGCAAGCACGGTCAGCTCCCTTCTGCAAAGCAGGCAGCTAGGAGGGGCCACTGGATGGTGCAAGCCCTGCAGCCCACATAAGGGCTGAGCTCAGGGGTATGTGACTGGCCCAGTGTCCATTCTTCTTCTGAGCTCTTCCAGGTCCTTGTCAGAAGACAGAGGCCCCTTGTCCCCACCTCAGGCAGGGCTCCTGGCTGCACAAGTGGACTGAATGACTCATTTCTCAGTAAACATGGGGGGCAGTGAGCTAGGCTCTCTTGGGCGTGATGCATGGGGTGGGGTCTCCCATGGAGCTGTCCTCTCTGGAGGCTACCCTCGAGCCCGTAAAGCTGCCCTTCATCCTCCCAGCCTTGATCTGAGACTACTGGCAGACGGTAGGGCAATGCTTATCACCAGGCACCAGGTACAGACCCAGCAGGCCCTCTGACTCCGGCCCGAATTTCACAAGCTTCTAACAAAAGCAAAACCTGAGCCAGATGCAGGGGTGCACGCCTATAATCCTGGCTACTTGACCAGCTGAGGCAGGAAGAGCTTGAGTTCAAGGCCAGCCTGGGCAATGCAGAGAGACTCCCTCTCAAAAAACCAAACTCAGGTAGCAGAGTGGGCACAAGGCCTGCCAGATGAAGGGCAGCCTTCTCCCCTTCCTCAGCATCCTCCCTGCCCCTCGCACCTCTTTCCCCTCCTTCCTACCTCTCCTCCATCCCTCTTTCCTCTTTTCCCCATTGTCTCCCTTCCTTCTTCCTTTCTCCCCTCTTCGTCTTCTCCACTCCTCTAGCTCCTACCTGGCTATACCTTAGTACCCTGAGTGGCTCTGTAAAAGTATTCACGCTGGGCCTGTGCTCACGGGCATTCTGATAGGCTGGCAGGACGGTGGGAACTAACTGCCTCCTGCAGTCCTGAAGCGGGAGCTGGCAATGAGAACGGCCCATCCTGCAGCACCTACCTGCTCACCAGCTCACGCGAAGGTGACTGACAGGAGCCAACACAGAGAGGTTAACCTGTGGTCACACAGCCATGACCGGTGGAGCCACACTTGCGGGGAGAGGCCCAGAGCTCACCGTGCCTTCTCAGGAACCTGGACACCTCCCAGGGGAGAGGGCAGCCTGGCTGTGGTTTTCTGTGGACTAGCTCTAGCAAAGGAAAACAGGGGAAGAAAGACCTTCCAGTTTGTTGCCTCCGGCTGGAATTGAAGCACCACTCCCTTCATCAGAGATGAACAAGGGGAGTAGAACACCATATTGCAGCAAGGGTGTGGCCGGACAGGGGCCCCCACCGCAGCTGCTGCCACTCCCAGGGAGCCTGCCCACCCTCTCCCTGCTCTTCCTAGAGTGTCTGGGGCCCACCACGGTGTCAGGTTGCTGCCCCACACCACAGCTGTCTCCCCTTCCCCAGGGGCTGCTGCCTTCCAAGCTGGAGGATCTGATCCCTTGCACCCCCACCTTCCTACCCTAGGGATGAGCCTTGTACCCGAGGGTCCCTCCCCCAGACCCTAGGCCCCAGCAACTGGAGTTCAAGCAAATTCTATAGGGGAGGGACAGCAGGGGTAACATGTCAGAATAAAGAAAAGAAAGGAAGGGCCTGGAGGACTCTGGAAGATCCCACACACACCCCAGAGTGGGAGGTACACACTGTCCTCCACGATGCTTGCGTTGGAGGCTTCCATCCCCACAGACTCCCCCGCATCCCGTGCTATCTGTCTTCCTAGCTCCCTCCCCATGGACATGAGGCTGCACTGTACAGAGAGCTCCTGGCAGGGCAGAGACAAAGAACCACACACACACACCTGCCTGTGCTGGTCCCAAACCGGCGGCTGACCCATTCGGGCAATCAGACAAAGCTGGCCATGCCGACACTGATGCCCTGGGAAGGAGAGGAGGCCACTGGAAAGTGCTGGCAGGTGGCCCTGCTTTGGAGCCAGACAGGCTGTGTGGAGTTCTCACTGGGCCCTGAGTAGGTCAGGGACGCACTGGGGCCGCAGTTTCCCCATGGTCAGGGCTGGCCTTCCACGTCTGGACCAGGACTAGGGGGAGGGAAGTGACAGAAAAGCAAGCCCATGCATACATACACGTCCCCACAGCAACCCCAGGGCGGGCCCTCGCCTCGTGGGTCTGCATGCTCATTGCCCAGAGGTCCTTGTCAAACAGTACTGGCCACGGCACAAGCTGGGAAGGTGTTCATATGAGGAGGCGACCACCGGGCCTCTGGGACCCTGGGCCTGGCTTAGATGGGCAGATGATGATGCCCTGGGAACAGAGGCTCAGGCCAAGCCCTGTGTGGTTTAAGACATTCAGATGCCTTGGCCTAAGACACGCTCTGGCACTGCCCACCTGACCCGGGTGTAACTCACATTAAAAACAATGTGCCACCAAGAGGGAAAGGAATCTCCCACGTTCAACTGTGTGCATACACTGCTTTGTGTCCACACGCTGTTTTGAAACTTCAGATGTCCCACTCTTGCATGCTGGGACCCAGGTGTACACTGCCTGCCTGCCTTTAGTCTGGCTGGCTCAGTGCTCAAGCTGGAGGGGAGGCCCATGCTGGACACTGGGCCTGAAGGGCCGGCAGGGGACGCCCTCGCTCTGGGCAGGGGAATGGCCCAGTGAAGTGAACTAAATTCCAAGACTGAGTTGCAGGCTTTGGCCCTGGCCGTTCACAGACCATCAAGAGCCCTCAAGAACTCAGCCAATCTCGATCTCTGTTTTCTTATCTATGAAACGGGGGTAATGGTAGCTGGGTAAAAGGGTTTGTAAGATCAAATGTAATAAATGTAGTACACAGTATTCTTATTCACCCAACCACATATTGGGTGCCTACCATGTGCCGGGACTGTTCCAGGCCCTCACAGATACACCACTGCACAAAACCCAGAGTGCTACACAAACCCAAGGGTGGTGGGATGATCACCCTATGACCTTGAGCTTGAGAGCTGCCCTGCCCAGGAACTCCTTCTATATAAAATTGATGAGTAATAACACCAACCCTCCAGCATGAGCGACAGCGAAGTGAAGTAAGACACACAAGGTGCTCAGAACTGTGCCCGGCTCAGTAGGCGTTAGGTGGAGGTAATGTCAAAGCCTCCATTCCACCTCTACAAAGCCTGGGCTCGGAGACAAGGCAGCAGCGCCCCCTTCTGGATACCGCTCGGCGGCCTTCGAGGGGCTTTTCCTCCAGGGCCCTGGGAAGCCCAGGGAGACCCTCACGACCACAAAAGTGTGAGGCGCGCTTCCCCAGCCGGATCTGCACACGCGGGGCACCTGCCGGGATCTTTGATCCATTTTTCAAACTGGGTTTGAGGTCGACGCGATTACCATCTCCATTTCACCAGGGAAACTGAGGCTCCGGGAGGTCGAGTCCCTTGCCCCACGACACGCATCGAGGGTACAGCGGGACATGAAGATGCGCAGGCCTCGCCTGTGCTCGTCGCTGAAAAGCCCCCGCCCCAATCACTGCGGCGTGCGCGCGCCACATGCGCGCCCAGACACCAGGAGCGCGCGCCGGGCGGAGGGACTGCGGGCCCGGGCGGGCGAGGAGGGGCGGGCG